CCCTTCCCTCCTACCCTGCCCTTCCCGGGGGCAGCCGAGTTTCCCCCTTGCCCAAGGCTCATGCCCCACGCGCCCCCTCGGGCCTGGGGCGCTTACGCTGCGGCTCCGTGTCCGGGGCTCCGAGTCCGCTCCCGACGCCTCGTCGCTCTGGCCCCCGCTGCGGCGCCGGCTCCCCCAGTCCAAGTACAGCCGCGGGGGTCGCCCCCCGACCGGGGGCATCCTCCCTCCGCGCCGCTGCCCCGGCGTGCCGTGCCGTTCCCTGCCTGGCGGCACCCGGGCTGGCAGGACTTCGGGCAGCAGCCCCCCTCTGCAGCGGCGCCGCGCTCCCCAGCTGGCTCGCCCGGGATCAGCCCGCCTCCCCTCTCCCGGCGGGAGGGCAGGCGGGGGGCGGGGGGCGGGAGTAGGGCGCATGCCTCAGCCGAGACCCAGCCCCCGCCCCCAGCTCCGCCCCCGTCCTGCCCCGCCCCCGGCGGGGGAGTGGGGACCCAGCCGGAGAGGCGGGGTGGGCGCGCCCGGGGCCGAGATCCTGGAACCTTCACCCCACCTCCCTGGCCCCCACCCCTCCTGGCTCGCAGGGATGGGGCCGGGAGCAGCCAGGGTGGGGAGGGGGTGGGGTACCGAGACCCTTGCCGCGTGGGGACTGTGTGACTCGGTCCTGCCCTCCACTTAGGTTCCCGCCGCCTCGCTGTGAAGCAAACCGGCCAGTCCCTTGGTAGCCCGGCGGTCGAGGAGGACTCCGGTGCATCCTTCTAACTGTCAGCGGTCACTGTCCCCTCCCTGCGAAGTTAGGATCCTGAGCGTCCCCCTGCCCTTCTCCCTCCCCCAGTCACCCCTTCCTAGGAATATCTGGACCCAGGACCTCCACTGAAGAGAGGAGGATTTGCTTTGTCATCTCCCTCTGTGCTCAGATTTGTCCCCCTCCACCCCATCCTTTACCAACTCAGGTCCTGAGCCTCCACTGTGCCACCCACGGAAGACAAAGGTCCTCGTTCAGCTGATTAAAAGGACCGCCCTGGAAGAGGTGTGAGAGGAGATGGGGGCTCTTCTTCTTTCTCTGCCCCACGAGCTCCTTTAAGTAATGTGGCGCTTTGTGAGTGGGTGGATGTGGTCCAGCCTCAGAGAGACCAATCTCAGACGGAGAGCCTGGAAGGAACCTCACAGGGTATCTGTGTCTGAGGGTGGATTTGAACACTGGTCTTCTGCTCTATCCACACCTGGCATGCCCCCATCTCTATGGGAGGAAGCATGGCTGTGTGTGACCTCGGGGAAGCGCTTCTCTGAGGTGCCTCAGTTTCCCCACTTGTAAAACATCTGGGTTGGACTCTGTGGCAGCTAAGGTCCCTTCCTGATCTGCATCTCTGCTCCTACAGTCTATAACAGGAAACTGTCTTGTCCTCAGGATCCAGCAGAATTCAACCAATGTGTCATCTGCCCAAACCTTTTTAAGTCCCCATCCCCAAGCAAGCATTGGAAGCATATGACCGAGCCCAGACTGGTCTTTGAAACAGCAGGCCCTTACTCGAGTTGTGTGTAGGGGCCTGGGAAGCTTGAGCAGAGCACTCATCCCAGATCAACGGCGATCGGCTGCAGCAGGTCCAGCTCAGGGCACATCAGTGCACATCGGACATTTCAGTTCTCTGTGAATGCGATCATGCCCAGACTATGCCCAGCCAAAGGAGTAACTCGGTTCTCCTCTGGACCCCAGGAAGGACCATCCTTTTTTCTAACCAGAGATCCACTTCTAACAGGATGGCTTAAGTCTCCACAAAATTCTAAGGCACCACAGTCCAAGGAGGGAAGAATTCTACACCACAAGGGTGTCGTGCCAGAGGACTGTCTTCAGAGAGAAACCAGAAGGTTCCTTCTTGTGGTTAAAAATAGATCTGCCAATATCTAGTTGTAAAAGGAAGGGACTAGACCCCAGGCTCCAGGGTGGCTTGGAAGACAGGTAAGGAGCTTTCATGGAGAGCATCTGAACATTGCAGAGACAGGCCAAATTTCAATACGGAGCCCTGGGTATAAATAGAATAGCGAACAGTGGGAAGCAGCCGTACACAACGCTTCACGTAATCGAATGTGACATTTATAAGTCAGACATTTCTCCCCCTCTTTCATGAGTCACAGGTGATTTAGTCACATGGAGATATTGGCCCCATTACATTGTGCCTCAGGGCATGAGATTGCCAGGATCACTATGGTCTACTCTGCTCCCCAGCAAGAAACTCCCTGACCCTGCAGCCCCAAGAGGAGTCTGCCCCAGCTACCTGCCACAGCCTTTTCTGCTCCTGACATTCAGGTTGTACTGACCTCTCCTGAATCCTCCTGGGCTAAATTTAGGTGCAAAGCGCTACAGTCCTCTCCTCTCCCTGAAAGACTGGTTTTTCCAGGGGGCTTTGGTAATGCCAGTCCTGATGAGAGCCAAGAGCAGATCTGTCTTGCACTTGCCTTTGCAGATGCTTCCAGAGCGGACATTTCCAGGCATCATTTCCCACAGCACATACTGTCTGGCTGTGGTCTTGGCTTCACAGACCTTGGGCTCAGATGGTTCAGCCTGGGCCCCTCAGTAAACATGGCAAGGCAGCTGCTTTACACGCCTGAAGTCTCAACGTTAGGAGGTTAGGTATAGGGGTGGGGGGATTGCTAACAGATTGCGGCAGGTAACAAAAGGATGACTGAGAAGCAGGCTAAGGTGAGGTCACGGAGGCTGGGCCAAGCCAAATCCTCCCCCGTGCCACTGGGAAGTCTATAGCAGTCACATCAATACTTAGAAAGGAACAGACGTAGCAAGTATTCCAGAAATGGTTTGAAAGTTAATGAGGGGAGAAGAACCCAAACGTTTGATGAGAAGAGATTTGGGGTTGATCATGTAGGGAGATGGACCCCTGAGTGCTTCACGGGGCATTGATGAAGGGCTAAGAAGCTAGAGGAAGGATCTTGAGGGGAAGCACGTATGGGGGCATGTCATTTTCCTTCCCGAAAAATGTATGCTCCTCTATTTGGCATTCAAAGCCCTTCATAGCCTAGCCTTCTCCTACCTTTCCAGTCTAATTATACCCCACTTCCTACCACATCCAGTAACACTAGCCTCATTGTTGTTCAGTCATTTCAGTCACGTCCGACTCTTTGTGACCCCAATTGGGGGTTTTCTTGGGAGAGATACTGGGGTGCTTTGCCATTTCCTTCTTTAGCTCACTTGATGGATGAGGAAACTGAGGCAAACAGGGTGAAGTGACTTGCCCAGAGTCACACAGCTACTAAGTGTCTTCTGAGGCTTCAGGTCTTCCTGACTCCAGGCCCAGAGCTCTATCCCTTGAGCCATCTGGCTGCCCCCTGGCCTCCTTGCTGTTCCTCAAACAAGACACTCACCTAACTCTGGCCATTTTCACTGGCTGTCTCCTCTTACCTGGAATTCTCTGCCTCTTACCTCCCCTAGCTTTAAGTCTCAGCCAAAATCCCACCTTCAGAAAACCTTTTCTGATCCCCCCTCAATACTAGTGCCTTCCCTCTGTCGAGCTAGCTCCTACTTCTCCTGTCTATGGTCTCCCACATTAGACTGGGAGCTCCCTGAGGGCAGGTACTGCATTTTACACGGTGCCCCATCTTGGCACTCCATAAATGCTTGTTGAATTGAACAGTATAACCCTGGAGGTGGGAGTGGGGGTGGGGAGCTCAGTTAGAGGGTCATTCTGATGCCCAGAAACATGGGCAAGACAGGAGACAACTCGGAAAGGTTGCCTGGGCCACTTCTGTGGGTAGCTTACCCACCACGTTTGTGGGTATGGTATGTAATCCCATTACCACCATCTTTAAGCGCTCCTTCTAGGCCCAGATCTCAGACCTCAGGATCAGGGTTAGACTTCTAATTCTACAGATTCTGACATATAATTGAACTAGTGAAATCTTTATTGATAAAGTACCTACTGTATGCACCTACTGTGTGCATGGCACTGCCATCTTTCGGTGCCTATTTTCTGCCTCTGGAACGGCTTCTTCCTAGGTCCCCAAGAGCACGGAGAGCTCAGAGGGAAGGAAATGTCTGTAGCTGTTTGCAGTCAGCCAGGCAGACACTTCCCTTGGAGAGGTAGCTAGCCGGCTCCTCCTTTTCTAGGCTGCCAGAGCTGGAAGCATTTTTCTTTCAGAAGCTGAGCACTGACAGCAGTTGCTTTTGTTACCTTTGCGCGTAGAGTCTGATCCTCTTCTCTGCACTGAGCCTCAGTAGCTGGCTTGCTTCTCTGACTCTTTATCCAAAGCAGCTTGCTCCGAGCGGTACGGGGTCGGGGAGGGGTTCATACATTAGCCACAATGGCTAATGGACTTGATTCTGGACTTCTCTCCTCTTAAAGCAGAGTAGGCCTGGAGAGTTAGGACAAACAGGGCCTCAGGCTCCAGGAAGCAAACTAGCTAGTTTCTTATGACAGAAGTCTTGCCTCTCACATTTAGAAGAAGGGCCAAGCAGTCTTGACTTGAGCTTTGCTGGGAGTCCAAGTGGAGATGGGTGGGGGTGGAGAAAGGCAACATCAGCGCCCCCCCCCCCCCAGCCTAGAGTGGCTTTCCAGTGCTAGGGAGGGCACCGTCTGAGGCTGGTCTGAGGAGGAGTGTTCAGGCACCCATCTAGAGACTCTTGAAATACTCCATTCAAATGCAGGTGCATAGGAGAGAGGGAAAGCATATCTGCCATCCATCTACCAGGAATTTCTCAAGCATCACTTAGGGCATCAGTACTTTCTGACAGTGATAAGTCTTCATTGTGAAGGTGCCAAAATCCATACTGTTCCCATCGCAACAGAAACCCCTGGAGTGGAGTCATCAGACCAATGCGGATCACTGGACTCTGCATCACTCCCTGTGGGTCCCCCTGCATGGCATGGTGGTGGGGGGAGGGGGGATCTGGGCACATGCAGCTGCAGGAAAGGCTTAGCCCAGAGAGGGCCAGAATCACCTGCACATCTTCCCCCCAGCACCTGCATATTCCCTAATGAAACAAAGACCACTAGTCAGAATGATTTGCTCCAGCCACAATAGCTTTATTAATGTCATTGTATTCTTCATATAACTTACAATGGGCACAGTAGGATTTTCTAAGTTTTTCCATGGAATGACTTGAGACAGTTTGGAATAATACTGTATAGCATTTATACTGGAGTAATATAAATAAGCTTTGGTGTATCCACTTTCAGAATATACTGTAGGTTAACACCGCATTACAAATACTTCACAGAACACCAGTTTTTAACGTGAATAGGACTTTTTGGCCAAGTGAGTTACTTCTAAGTGAACAAATTCCTTCCCAGATGCATCTTCCTGGGCTGCTTGGGCTCCGGTGGAAGGTCACTTCTGAGGGACAGCATCTATCTGGGCCTGTCGCTTGGCTTTCATCTGCAGGTATCTGCCTTTGCCCTCTTCAAAACGCTTCTTCTCCTCTTCAGTCTCTACCTGTTGACCATGAAAATGGGAAGGGTCAAAACTTGAAAAAAAAAACAAAACACCTTTTTCTTTCTCATTAGCAGGCATTTATTTTCTCTCTTACTTTTCCACCCTGCCCCCCCCCCCCCCCGCACCGGGAAAAAAAGAAAACACAAATCCTCATGATAAATATGCATAGCCAAACAAAACAAAATTCCCATTTCCCCATTGATCATGTTCCCAAGCATCCCCTGAATCCGTCACCTTTCTGTCAGGAGGCGGGATTCCTCTGGAGTCCTCTGGAGCTGCGGTGGGTTGCTGCATGATCAGTCCTTAAATCTGAAATCCCCTTATCTGACCACAATCAACTGGCTTTCCACCTCTCCCCCTTGACCCCCCCCCCGTTCTTTCCCAGGCCATCTCCCTAATCTTTTCTCCATCTTGACCCCTTGGTGAGCCAGTTCAACCCTACACTGTCCTCTTTTCTCGGGCCCCTCCGTGCCTTATATTGCTGATTGCGCTCTGCCAAGGCTCGGGTCGTTCCCACCATCCACTATCTTTGTTCCTACATGTGTGGTGCTGGATGACGGTGGAGAAAATCATGCAGCTGTTCTGAGTGGGCCCACTACAAATTTGTTATCCAACCTCACCTGGGCCCTCGCTGCTGCTAGGCAATGCTACTATATATTCCTCTTTTATCACCTCACTGTCCCGCCCTCCACAGGGCCTCTTCCAAACCTTTTCATCCCTCCTCAACCTTCCACGACTCCCCTTTCTCTCATCTGAGAATGTTGCCTCATACTCTAAACAAAAAATTGAGCCCATTTGCCTGCAAACTCTCTCTTCTCCCCTCTGTCTCCCAACACTCAGGGGCCGTCTGTCATTCTGCCTCACGTGATGAAGTGGCCTTACTCCTCATCAAGGCCAAGCCCTCTACCTGCACACATAATTTCATTCAACCCCATCTCCTCCAATAGACTGGCTCTCCTTTCATCCCCTCTCCCTTCTCTTTCATCTCTTCCTCTCTATTGGCGGCTTCCCTACTGCCCACAAACTTGCCCATGTCTCCCCCATCCTCAAAAATCCTCCCTTCATCCCTCCATTCCTGCTATCCTCAATCTCTTCGGCCCTTTGTAGCTAAACTCCTCAAAGAGGCATCTACAACTAACTGGTACCTCCACTTCCTCGCCTTTCACTCTCTTCTTACCCCCCTACCCACAATTTGGTTTCTGACCTCATCATTTTGCCTGAACTGCTCTTTCCAAAGTCACCAATCATCTCCTAATTGCCAAATCCAATGGTCTTTTCTCAATTCTCATTCTCATCGACCTCTTTGTAGCCTTTGACCCCGTGGATCACTCCTCGATACTCTCTCTTCTCTAGGTTTGCAGAACAATGCCCCCCACCTCTGCCTCCTGGTTCTCCTCCTACCTGACTACTCGTTTGCTTTGCTGGATCCTCATCAGATCAACGTCCTCTACTTGTGGCTGCGCCAAAGGGTTCTGTCTCTTCTCCCTCCATACTACTTCATTTGGTGACCTCATCAGCTCCCATGGATTTAATTACATCTCTACGCTGATGCTCAAATCTGCGTGTCTAGTCTGAACCTCTCTGCCTGACCTCTAATCTCTACCTGTGCCTGCCTTTCAGGCATCTCAAACCGGATGTCCTCTAGACATCTTAAACTGAACTCCTTATCCTTGTCCCTAAACCCTGCCCCTCCCAGATTTCTCTGTTACTTCTGAGGGCAACACCATCCTCCCAGTCCCTAGGCTCCCAGTCTAGGAGTCATCCTGGACTCCTCCCAGTCTCTCACTCCCCATGTCCAATCTGTTGCTAGGGCCTGTCGATTTCACCTTTGCAGCATCTCTAGAATATGTCCCCTTCTCTCCTTTGACACTACCCCCCACTCTTATGAAGGCTCCTATCTCCTCAGGCGTGGATTACTACAATGGCCGCTGGTTCATCTACCTGCCTGGAGTCTCTCTCCACTCCAGTCCATCCCCATTGGGCCACCAAAGTGATCTTCCTAAAGAGCTGGTGTGAGATGTCATTCCTCTACTCAACAAACTTCAGTGGTTCCCTATCATGCTCAGGATCAAAGCCCTTCATAACCTCGCCCCTCCCACCTTTCCAGTCTTACTCGACTCCCACCCCCCCACCCCCCCGCCCCACCCTGTGACACTGGCCTTCTGGCTATTCCCCGAACAAGCCCCTTTCTCTCTGGGCTCCTGGCATTTTCTCTGGCTGTCCCTCATGCCTCGAATGCTCTCCCACACCTCCATCGTCCCCAGCCCCTCTTAATTCTAGTGCCTTCCCTCTGTTCATTTTTTCTCCTTGATCCTGGATGTAGCCTGTTTGTACATGCTTTTTGTCTCCGCCTAGATTGTGAGCTCCTTGAGGGCAGGGACTGTCTTTTGCCTCTCTTTGTATCCCTAGCACTTGGCACTGTGTCTGGCCTGGAGCAAGCACTTACTAAGAGCTTACTGATTAAATCTTTACAAGCTGCTTGTTTTTACAGTGTTGCTGTTGTTGTATAGATAGTCCTCCTGGTTCTGTTCATTTCACTCTGCATCAGTTCAGATAATCCTTCCGAGTTTTTCTGAGAACTTAATTTTTTTTAAACTTCTGTTGTTCTTTGTGCTTTAAAAGCCCATGACATTAAGTTAGAGGAAGTGAAGGGCCTTGCTGGGGAGTGGAAAGGAAGGCCAGAGGAAAGGAGTGATTTCCTTCTACCACGAGTAGCCATCGGTATATCTCCAAACCCCCCTTCAACCTTCCAGGTTCCCGTGTCTCCCTTTCAAAAAGGCCTGTGAAAATCCACAACTTATGCTCGGGAGAAAATACAATGGAACATCAGAAAGCCTTTTTGGTTCACCGCTGCAGGGACGACAGTGCCAGGGCGACAGTCAGTATTTGGTAAATGTCCCCAGGGTTTCTTCCTAGCTGCTATGCTGCCAAGGGGTGTGCAGGTTGCACGGACCCATGAGAGTAGCACGAGTGGAGACCAGCTCTGAAGATCTATGCCAAATGAGCCCTGCCTAGGCCCTGACAGGTTCACACCTTCATGGCCATAAGTTTAGTTAATTAGGGAATTTACATCATTTTCAACCACAGTTCTGTATATCAGGCTGAGTGTCTCTCTACTAATGAGCTGAATAAAAAAAATCATTATAAAAGTGCATTAAAAAACCATGAATAAGTTGGCGCACAGAATTCAGAGACATAAATAGAAATTTCATCAGATCAGAGCTCAGCTAGTCTAGTGATTCTCTATGTGTGGTCTGGGGACCCTCGGGGGTCCCTAAGACCCTTTCAGGGGGTCCACAAGGTTAAAAGTTGTATTATAAACAAGACTCAGTAGCTTTCCCAATTCCTATACCCCAGTCACTTCAACTCCTAACGGAAAGACCCTAAGTTCCTCTACCATCTCCTTGGCCAGTAGTTCAAGTCGAAAGGCCTTACACAATTTACTCTGAGGCACGACACCTTCAAGGTGTCCAGAAGCCAAAGAGAAATCAGTCAAGCGGGCAGAGGCCCTTCATTTCCAATGACACTCAACTCCAGCAGCTATTTTTAGTTTTGAGTGTTTTACAGATTAACAGTGTATTTGCAAAGAGGACTACAATCAGTTTTAGAATGTGATGTCAAGTGATACCAAATATTTCCTCCCCCTCAGACATCTCCGAAATTGTTCTCTAAATGTCACCAGGTATAAATTGTCAAAACCTTGAATGCTCAGAGCCTATGAAACTTAAGGATGTTGGAAGAAAATGAATTTGATTGCTGATGGTGGTTCTTGTTCTCCCTTTCGAAGCTCTCAGATACACACAAGGAAGGTTGGCTGGATTTTTTTTTTCCGAGACACTTTACTAAAAATCTTCCTTCACTATCCAAATATTATCTTCAGCTGGCCATTTTCATTAATTTCTAAAGCTAAAAGCAATTTTATCTGAAACACCTTCCAGTGAACTAACTTTTGTTGTTGTTTGTCCTCGAAGAGTACCATGACATTGGGAAGGTGGTGCCATGACTTGCAAGTGAACTGGATTTAAGCGAGTCACCAGTCTCACCCTCTCCTCCAGAGCCATCTGAGCCCAGTGGCAAGATATAGATCAGGACGACTGGAGATGGCCCTGATACAGTGGGAGACCATGGCTTTTTTAAGCTAAGGTCTTTCCCAGGTCTCATTTTGACTGAGGCAATACCTATTTAGTATTTAAGGCTAGGTAAGAAATGAGGCAAAGAATGGCCTCTTCTACCTAGTTTAAAAAAAAAATCAATCTGGGAAGAGAAGACCTCGGGGTTTCTGGCCAAAACAGAAACAGAAACAGTTGCTATTTACATTCACTCTGAGCCATCAGAGGCCAGACAATGACCAGGTGGGTCTTGGGCTGGGACCTACTGTTGGCCAATCAGTGTTCTGGGTTTAAGGCACAGTCCTTAAGAAAGAAATCTAGCCTGTAAACTGCAAGATATCTTTCCAGGTTTCAGCAATCAAAATTTAGCTTCAATCACTGAATGGGTGTTGCCTCGGTCAAACTAACTTTTAAAACCAACACAGAGGGGCGGCTAGGTGGTGTAGTGGATACAGCTCCAGTTCTGGAGTCAAGAGGATCTGAGTTCAAATCCAACCTCAGACACTTGACACTCACTAGCCGTGTGACTCTGGGCAAGCCACTTAACCCTAACTGCCTCACCAAAAACAAGACAAAACAAAAACCAACACAGAGACAGCGGACACTCTGCACCTTCTTCGGGGCCCAGTACCCATTAGCTGGTAGGGCCTTCGCTCAGGTCTCAGCCAGCTTTCCTGTGTGCTGTTCCTGGCAGGGCTTCTTCTCTGTCTGTACATGACAAGGCTGATTTAAACATTCTCAGCTTTTCTCAAGTCCAAGGGCAGGGAAATCTGAACTTACTGAGAACTTCAAGGCCAAGCCTGCCATTACTGAGATGACGGCTGATGTGTTAACCAGAACCTCCTCTGTCCTCTTCAGGCTTTCACTGGAAAGGGACAGAAGACTCCTGGG